GAGAGAGAGAGAGAGAGAGAGAGAGAGAGAGAGAGAAAGAGAAAACTTTGAATTCAAAATACCAATCTTCCTTTTATCCGATTTTTCATCGTTAAATTATGGTTTAAATTTATCGAGATTGGGAAGGAAATGCAACGGACCTGTATTCGATGCCATACCATCGTATTCCTCGAGTTTTCTGACTTATCAATTAAGCATCGATCAGGTATAAAAATATATTCGAAGAATCTAAAATAGAACTCTAGAGTCCACGATATGTACGTAAATAATACGATTATAGAATCGGGTGTCAAATGGAGAAACTTTGTAAGTTCTTTATATACAAAACTATTTTTAGTCGATCACGAAGGTAATAAGGCAACTTTTTTATTCTTCAACAACATGTGTTATCATTCTCTTCTATATCCTCTGGTGTTTCACTGCACCACCTTCCGATTTCTGATTGCATAGTACAGGTAACTAAATTATCGATCGCGTCTTATCTATATACATGATGAGATTACACTGGCACAATCGTATCATCAAATTATACGCTTATTTCCGATGTATTTAGCCAACGGTGAACGAATAAATATTTCAAAGTAGCAATGCTTTGACGCTACGCTATGTTATAAAATTTTGGGTAATAAAAAATCGAATCGAATGCGATAAAATTATGCAAAGAAATTATACGCACAAGTCGTGTCTCGTTTTTATTTTACAACACGAAATACAAGACAAGTTTAAACAAACAAAATTTCATTTGTGCGGAAACGGAAGTTCACTGGCCCCCTCGGCGTCCGCCGTCATTAAAGAACAATTCGCAAAGAAAGAAAATTATATTTCCCCCCGGAGCAGGGACACGTTTCGAGAGGAGATAGAGAGAAACTGGAGACAAACTAGGCACTCTCTAACTCATTCCGTGGATGGGACGGAGATAGAATAAGTAGGTTAACGAAATGGTCGTTCGCAAGCTTGAGATACCAATTCCAGTGGCCCTCAACTCGATCCCAAGTTCCTCCTTCGAGGACCGGCACGATCCTCCCCACCCCTCACGCTAGAACGCGCCACGAAGAGACAACAATTTTCCAGTCGGTTGTTCCTCCTTCGTGCTCGCCACGCGTGCATGCGCAAAATAGTAGTTTGAACGTAAGCCTCGGGAATCCTTGCCTCTCTAGAAACGGGTCTACGAGGCCGGATTCCTTGTTCGCAACGGCGAAGAAGCGGAAAGGAACGAAAGAAAGAATTATCGGGAGCCATCGTTGGGAGCAAGATTGGGGTTCGCTTGATTAAGGCATACAAGAAAGACATTCCGTCAGTGAATTCCTCGCAATCCGTTTTTCGGCCAGCGTCCAGTCGTTTCACTTTAGCGTTAATTGCATTATTATCGACACCACTCCCGAATAACTTTCTTCTTCTTACCGTTCTCCATTTTTCTTACCTACACCGCATTCTCGACCCTCGTCCTCGTAAAAACTAGCTCGAATATATATATGTACATATTTCAATAACGATTATTTTAATCAACAAATTGATTACATTTTATTGTGCTCCATCAAGTGATAAAATTAGTTACAGATTGAACAAATAAATTATTCAAAAAGTTGAAGTCCATTTTGCAAGAAAAGAGGATAAATAACGTTTGATTTGTATATTTGGGATATGTATCTCGTGGAACGGCGACTTATGGTCGTGAGTAGACCTCGACGATGAAGTTGATTCCGTGACCCCTCTGGCTCTTGAACCGGATAGTGACATTGTTCCATCCTGGGCCACCAAAGAGGATGCTCGCGTACGCCCCGTTACCATTGGTCTTCTGATCAAGAGCTCGGACTTGAGTAATCCTTTCGAATCTTGTTGTGTTGAATGTCTTTTCGTCGGTTACTATCCTGCCCCACGAGGAGTTCTTGATGATACTTTGTCTCAGTATAAGCCTGTCGCCAGGCATTCTATACCCGATGACCAAGTCATGAGACTTGTTCGTATTGTTCGAACCATAGAAATTAGGTTGGGGAACGGAGTTCACTTGTGCGATGACCAATAACGAAATGGCCACAGCCGTAATTGGCAAGAAAACGCTAGCTTTCATCTTCCTGAGAGACACGAGTTTATTTCGTTTTATCGTTAACTGTAGACTGAGGTTTGATATCAACTGGTTGCTTTAAATATCACCACCGATCGGCCTTATCAGTTAACTGTCTTATCACGATTTATTTGTAAAAGCATATTTATTTGCTTTTTCTGGAAAAGTTTATTCTAAGAATACGTAGATCTTGTTTCATGATATCATCGATCGATTATCGTTTAAAGATAAATAGCCTTACTTAAAGAATTTATCATTCGATTCGAATTTTTAATCGTAAGAACATTGCTGCTCTTAATGTTACGATTATTCAAATTGTCTTGGAATAATATATTGATCATTGAGATTTTTCCTTAGCTAATTTCACCTTTTATTACGTTTCATTTGTGTTATGTCTCATTCTTAGAAAAGTAATTAAATACACGAATATTCCTCGTATCATACGTAAACATTTTTATCTCTCTGCTCTTTAAAGCATGAGACACATGTTTCTACGAGTATTATTCCTGTCCAATTATCTTTTTCTCAGAAATTCAATGGATATAATAACAATTTCGAGAAACGATTCATTTAACAATATCTTTTCAGACGCAGATAATCATCATTACGATTAACCATAGAATGTAAGTGTGTAAGGTGTTTGGCCTCAATCTCGTAATAGATGGCGATCTCTATAATTCACGCAGCAACCCGACTCTATCTAACGTTGCATCCTGCCGTGTGTATACTCTGTCCTCGCACACGCCCTCGGATTCTGTGCACCGTCAATAGGTTTGCGTTCACAAATTCACAGTGTCGAGACCTTTGAAAGCATCGCGTATTATCAAATTGTTTCGTCACGCGTCAAAATAAAAATGAAATTGTAAAAATAGCCTCAAGTAATTAATAATTATTAGCAATTAATTCGCAGTTAGAAAATATATTTTACGATCATAGGCTTGTTTCGTCGGATTTTAATGCGCTTTTACCAACACAGTGGATTAGATTCATTCGCAACAAATGTTTACGTTTCTATTAATGTGTATAAACGTGTGTGCTCAGCTGATAGAATTTTAAACAATTTTCTGTATACCTTTCTCAGATTTTTCTCACGCGCAACGGCAAACAACGAGATTTTGTAGTTGGCGCCCTACATTACGAGCTCGACTGACTGCGAGAGCTGCAGCCGCTTTGTCAAGGCCGTTGTAGGTTGTTTGCTCAGATGCTTGTTAACCGTGTGAGCATCCAATATGTTACCTCGTGTATGCACTTAGGTCCTGCGTCGAGAGTAGATTCACTCGGATCATTAAGTCAATTGCTGGATACACGATGACAGAATATCGATGGTAACAGCCATGAGATGCATTTGCGATGCGAGTTCATATCGGTAACAAGAAGTTGACAAAACTTATCTTAACATAAAAAAAAAAAATCGAACTATTTTTTACTTTTAACTTATTCTTCTTGACGAAGAATAGTATAAGCACGGAGTAGAGGTAAGAAGTGGCGTCTTTTATCATAGTATTATTTCTACATTCAGGATAAACAGACTTGTTGCACAAGAAAAAATTCGACTTTAATTTTTAATCCAAACAAAGACAAGTGCGCGTTACTCGTTCAAAGAACTTCGTTCAAAGAACAAAGAATATCTATTCCAATCCATGCTGGACAGAGGACGATCCCAAAATCTGCTGTATCAAATGCTTTCACCATTAATTATGTCCTCGTGTAGTTCCAGAAGAGGCAAGGGTCGATTACAACCGTGTTAACGAGGTAATTCTGATCCAAAGAAGGAATCCTCGAGCCACTCGAATCATCAGTTCGATTCGAAATTTTCCGTTCGGTCATTCGTCGCTGTGCGCATCAATCATTGATGGATAATAACGGATCCCGTATATCGTCGAATAATTAATACGTTACGGTGAAATTTAATTGGATTATGATAAGAAGGGTGAATTGGAACAATCGGTTCATTGAATCGATAATGCGGAACAGTGGGGAGATTCGTTGAAACGTTGGCGTTAATTATAAATCGCTTTGCGAAGAGTGGGGACGAAAGAATCGTGGGGAGGATGCGGGATTAAAGTACGCGGATAAAGGCATAATAAACGTTGAGGTCATCCCTTTGGGACAATTAGGCGAACAGAAAAGTTCCATCGCAGTTACGTAGCCTCCTGACCGCCCCTATAAGAGTCAGAATGGCAGCTACTAGTTTTCTCCATTATTCAAAGCTGTTCGCATCTTTTCCAGCATCAACGTATTATATCAGACTCACAATGCCCCGATTGACGGACGGATACGTTTGCTCGAGAGAAATAATTATTCTTATCGATTATTTCGAAAAATATTAACGATTCGATTGCACGATTAAAGCGTTTTTGAATAATAAGATATAATAAGGAGATAGATAAATGGAAGGGAGAATTTTTCAGGAATTAATTTAACAATAATATCCGTGGTGAATGGTCGAAACAAAAGGTCGAATAAAATCCCTGTCGATCGATATTCACGTGAACGACATGTAAACGTAGAACTTGACATCTCTAAAATCATCGTTACATCGGTAATTAAACAAATGTAACTAGATCGTATCTACGTTTATTTCGAATTGAAATGGTGTATCATGAATCCGTTATTCGTTGATCATACATTATGAAGAGGAACCCGGTCGCATTGAGCGGTGGCTAGTTTTGGTTTATGGTGTTTCGATTATCTCTATAGAGTTGCACGCGGCGGCGTATATACGTTTGTACACGTAATTTGCATTCGTCGCAATACGATAAGGTTAAATAGTTACTCCCGACGACCACAATACCAAACGTTCTAAACGTTCCATCGATTCGTTCGCTATTATTACATTCCGCTTCTTTTCTCCCGTTTCGCGCGTCCACTTTCACCGAACGCGCTCGTATCGATCGAGTATAAATTCGATGACAATTAAAAATAACATTGGAATGGAATTTCAAAACGGGATTAACCTACACGAACTCGCTCTTTCTATTTTATCGATAGATTAGACACTTTATCCATAGTTTGGCACGACGATCGCGATAAGAAAGATGAATTATGGGGGGCCGTGACGAGGCTATCGAATCGAAATTCTCGATAGACCGCGTAACACGGATGGCCGCAAGTTTCGGATAGGCTAATCCTCAGAAAGCTCAAGCTGCAACGATGTCGATGCGCTTTCAGGAGAACGACGTGTGCGGCCGTAAAATCGGCGAACGACGTCCCGACGGCCCTTTCCCCTCCCCCCTGCGAGTAATCCTCGTAGATTGGCGCGGCGCAATAATTCGTCCTCGGTATCGGCCCCGTGGGAGCACGGCCAGGAGGGGGTGTTAAACGACCGATATTTTTTTCCCTCGAGAAGCGGCCACCTCGATTTGTTGCATGCCTTACATGTCGTGCATCCTATCTTGCGTTCATCGGTCGCAACATTTTCTTTATGCGTCTCCACCTTTATGCATCGTTAAAACAGGCGACCGCGCGAGTAGTAAAACCGCAGTAAATCGACGTATCGTTCGGACGATGCTTAAACCGTGGCAAAAGGTGAATGGGAAAAATGAGAGAAACGAGAAGGCGAACGAGGGGGCGAACTCGATTGGTGGTAAATGGGACGGTGCGAAGCGGAATCGTCGAATTTCTTGAAAATTCTTTCCGTCTCGATGTTTCTTCAAAAATTAATTCGAGAAGGCGTATCCTCGTAGACGTCGTCGTGCTTAGCGAAAGATTCGTTTGAGCGTCGTCGACGATCGGAGAAATTAATACGGCAAACAGAACTTTTCGTTCCGCCGAAGAAAATTACGTAATAAATGAAAAGATTCCTTCTGCGAGGGAGGGAGGTGGGACGCCAACGACTTAATTAAGACCTCCCTTTCGTTGATCCTCCTACGTCGAAATTTTCGTCGTCCATTCTTCCGGAAGACATGACAGAGACGGGCAAGAAGCGGAGGGACAAACACGGAATAGCCATGAACGCAGGAAGAGCGGAAGGTGCTGCGAGGTAGCGTAAACAATTGCCGGCACAATTAGGAAACGTTTGTCCGTCTGTGTTTATCGAAGGATCCGTAACTAGCTTAGGTAACACCTATCCATTTGCTACTCGAGAGCTTCCGACTCGGTCATGCGGACAATCAAGAGAAATCGTTATTATCGCGTCTTATGAAACGCGCCTTCCTCGAACGATCGATTATCAATCGATTCTCATCGTTGAAATTAATAAAAAATTATATAAAATTCGAGGTAAGCACGTTGTTTTAATTAAGTTGAGTACGTTGATTTAATTCGTTATCCGGTAAAAATCTTTTTACCGCGTAAAGCTTTTACCGTGAATCGATCGTTTATCCTTATCGTAAATTGTTTCGTAATCAAATCAATTTTTATCTATCTTCTTTGAACTGCCGTTAAGAAGGGATGGAGTTAATCGAATAAGTATCTCATGAGAAAGAAACATGAGGATTTATCGGATTAACGAGCTTGTATCCTTCAACGTTTCGCAGAAATTGGATTTGGATCAATTACAGCTAAACGCTCGGCGTTTCTGTATAAAGCGGATATTTTTCATTCTTCGTGATCGACAAAGAACAGAATCGTTGCTTTCAGTCGGATTGCTAGACGGATTATACGATTACAAGTTATGTCAGTGAAAATGGAGTTATTGAGCATATGCCATGGAAGAACTTGCCCTGACGTACGCTAATTTGATATTGGATAACCGTTTCCGCCCTCGAATAGACCCGGACTCCCGAAGGCGTGCAATATATATATATATATATACGCAATGGATCTTGCTTTCGCCAAAAAATGCGTTTCTGTATTTAAAAAAGAAAAAAAAAGGCTATCCATCTCGTTTGAATTTGATACATTTTAATAGAAAATTTTATCAAAGGATGTATTATAATTTGTAACGAATCGTGATGTTCCAGGATAATGAGAATTATAATTTTTACATATATGTTTTGAACAATATATTTATATATATATGTATGTATATAACGTTTAAATGCGAATTATTTTCTTTTTGAGAAATGATGTTCCAATGAGCAAATAGGGCTT